TGTGAAAATCAGATGAGGGTGGGAAAGTACATGACTGCAAAATTACCTAGAATTAACAACTAAAGAGAACAGACAGCTGCCAGTATTCTGAGCCGTTGTCTCAGCTCCCAGCTCATTCACACTGCGGCTATCCTTAGCACTCCAAGGAATGAAGCTGATGAAGAGTTTAAAAGTTATAATTTGGGGGGGGAACGGTTTTGAAGGGTCTTTGTAAGACAGCAGCAGGCATTCTTTCTGCATAGTCCATGTAGAGTTGTATTTACTTCACAAATATTTATTAGGTACGTACTCTGTGCCCTCATTTACACTGCGCTATGAGCTGGGGACGCAGTGATGAATATTATCAGGCAGAGTCCCTGATCTCCAGGGTCTCAGTGGCTCATGGGAGCCACGCCAATCCAATAATAACACACATATATAATATATAACAGTAGTGACAATTGGCACAGAGAGAGCTGTGTGGTGTTATGAGGATGTGTGAGAAGGGGAATTGACCTAGTCTAGGAGGTCCAATATGACTTCCCTGAGAAAGGGTCAGTCAAGCTAAGATCAGAAGCAAGGCTTGGGGTGAACTAGACAAAGGCAGGGTGGGAGGAGGGCAGGTCTGCAGGGAGGGGTTAGGGAGGCAGGATGTTCCATGTGGGGAGAATCTGCACAAAGATTGGAGAAGATGTTGATCTGTATATGTTTTATCATCAGGTCTTCCAGACCTAGCACAAAAGGCTATCACGTAAAGGCATTCAATGGATGAGTTAGAATAAATCATCCTATTCTGCCTATAGATTCTTCTTCACACTTAAGAAATTCTTCCTGCATCAAGAATCACCCTCTGCAGGGGCTCCTGGGTGTCTCAGTCATTAAGCCTCTGCCTTCGGCTCAGGTCATGATACCGGGGCCCTGGGATCGAGCCCCGCATCCAGCTCCCTGCTCAGCGGGAAGCCTACTTCTCCCTCTCCCTCTCCCTCTGCTTGTGTTCCCTCTCTCACTGTCTCTTTCTCTCTGTCAAATAAATAAATTAAAAATCTTTAAAAAAAAAAAAAGTCACCCTCTGCATTCTGCTCTGTTCTGTAATCAAGCAGATGGCTCCAACCTTTACTGTTTTATGAACCCAAATCTGTACTCTCAGAGTCATAAATATTATAGTTAAGCAAGTAAAAATTAAATTTCCATGTTATTTTGCCTGGTTGTGGGACATCTGGCACGAGCAATTTATTTTCTCTCCTGCTGAAAATTGAAACCGGCTTAGTCTTTATTATGCTGGCCGTAAACATGTTGCAAATTATAATTTTACATTGCCATTAGTTATATTTTGGGGTAATACAAATTACTGGGTCATCCACTTCCTTTTGGCATTTAGTAATTCTCTTTCGCAATAAAAATCCATTTTCTTTGCTTCACGGTCCCTAAGAACCTACCCACATTAACTGCAAAAAAATATTTCACTAATGCTAAATGTCACTCTGAGGGTGACTCACACTGTCACACACAAGCTTCTACAGCAGACAGAAAAGGTTTCATCTCGGTTTCCAGCGTTAACTGTAAAAGAACAAGGGGAGTTTTGATCTGTGGCTTGAGCCAGCATGATGAAATTCCCCAGTTCACCAGAGCCCGTAAGCTCTGTGCCAGAAAAGCCCGCCAGACAGAACTGAGTTTGAACCCGACTCGGCCAGGAACGGGCTGTGGGTCAATTACTTAAACTCTCTTAGTTCCAGGTTTTCGCATCAGGAAAAAAGCGAGATTCTTGTGAAATGAGATAAAATGTTGTCTATGAAAGTCGCTTAATGAATGTGTATAGTTTAATTAGGTTTCCCTTCTTCTAAGGCAATGGGGGTGGGGAGCGGGGTGAGAATCTCCTTAACTGGGACATCAGCTCCGTGAAAGCAGAGACGGCGCTGGTCCAGGCCACTGTCTTATCAATGCTTAGCATAATGCCTGATCCTGAGTCAGGGTTCAACAGATTTTGGTTGAGTAGTTGAAGGTAAAGAATTTCAAGTTTTCAAGATTTCACCGTGTTCAGTGGACATAGAGGGGAGAGATGAAAGGAGCCCCTTCACTGACCCATGCAGCAGGAGTCCATGGAAGCTCTAATCCTGGATACTTGGTGTCCTAGATATTTAGTTATTGGCTCTCCAACATGAGGCCATCTCTGGGGTGCTCTCAAAGATGCAGGAAGCCAGAGGGGTAAAAATTCCCTCTCCCTGCTTCCTGGCACCCAGAGTACCAATCTGTGGCCTGCCCTCAGTCAGTCAGATACCCTTCCTTGGGGCTCGCCATCTTGGACAGTGATGCAAAGCTGGATGGTCAAAGGGTGTAGCTCTGGAAGCTCAGAGGAATGTCCAGTGGTGGTGACACCACCAGACCATTCCCATGGTGACTTTGGCTGTACTCTTGGCTGCCTGGCCTCCTTTAACTCGTGTTCATTTTCCAACCTCTGAATGCTTAACATTCCTGGTGTTTCTACGGGTTACCTACCGGTTTTCCAATAGGTTTCCTTTCGGCCAAGCCAGCCAAGTTGATCGCTATTGTTTGTGTCCAGTGATTGGGGTCCTAGCCCACTGCTCCTGCCCCTGACTTTGGTCTCCCAACATGACCAACCCTTTAAACACTGTTTCCAGGGATACATTTCAAATTGACTTTTGCATAGTTCTCCAAATCTCTTCTTCAAGATGGTCAGTGTATTCCATGATTCTTTGACGTCCTTGGCAACTCTATAGAGTTATATATTCTTTACCGAAGTCAAATTATGTTCCCTCCAATCACTCTCTGGCTCTTTGTTTTCATCTTTCCCAAACCCCAAGATAAATTCCTTCCTCATCTGCTCTTTTTGACTCTATCCTCATTTCCCCTTAGGCTTTGGGTGATTTAACAAACTTTTATTGTGCACAAACTACGTGCCAAAAATTATGCTGGGGACAAGGATCCAAAGCTGAATAAGAGAATCATCACCTGTGTGAAGATAACAGTCAACTGAGTAAAATGTAAAGTAGATTCATGCCAAGACAGGCAACAGAAGCCAGCACGCTTCTCAAAGCAAGGAAGAAAATACAGGAGGCCTGTTAAAGCTTGGGATTTGATTCTTTGCGACACGGCTTTCTGCAGGGAGGAGATGCCTTACTCTGCCCATGTTCGCTGTCCTCTGGGACGTGGGGCCAGGGTCTGGGTCATCTCGCTTTATTTCTCTCTCGTCCTTTTGAGAGTGTGAGCCTGTCTATCTCCATGTGTACGTGTGTAACAACACTTCCTTTGTAATACATGAACAACCGGAGGGACATTCTGGAACATACAGCTTGAGACAACGGCAAGCTGCTTCGCTGAATGGGACTGTAGTCGCTGCTCCCTTTGAACCGTGTTTTCTACTCGTGTTACTGCTCCGCCAGAGAACCATGCTGGTGCGTTTTCTCCTTACATTCTCACTGCGGCCTATAACCCATCATGACAAAGAGATGCCTTAAAAACGGCACTCAAGGGAGACATTATTTCCTCCCCATTTCTCTCTCAGAAAGAGCAACTTATAATAGGAGGGGGGGAAATTGCATCTAGGTTAATGGCCGAGACCGTTTCCTCTGGTGAATGAAAATCAAAGGCTCATAAATACAACTTGTGAGGTTAGTCTTGCGGTTAGCTAGTACTTTAAATTTGTGATTCCCCCGATTATATGAGTTGACAGGGGGACTATCGACTTTTTCTCAGACAAAGCTGCAGTGCTCAAAATTATGTCTTGAAAAGAGCAAGGACCAGGATTCCCGAGGCCACTGAAAAAGCTCAGCAGAACTAGGCTAAAACATTCCTGGTGCATGGATGTCAGGCCTGGGGCCCACCTAAGAGGGGAGAAGAGGGGAAATGCCATTTTCTCCCTATAAAGATGAATTTGGGCATTGGAAACAACCTTCTGATTTTAATGCCATTAATCAAACAAAACTGTCACTGACCACACAAAACTTCCATCAACGTTCCCCACATTTAGCAGGTATCAAATGATCACTCAGCTACTGCTTATTATTAGCCATCGGTGAATACGTGGAGAACAGAAAGTCTGAATTTTTTTAAAACTGAGTCCTTCAGGTGCACGCAATCCCATTTTTCCTCAAGTTAGGGGTCTGAGTCCCTGCTAATTTAAATAGATAAGAAAAGCCTCGGGAGCAGAGTTGCCAGTGAAACGGTGTGCAGATCTGCATGTGGCTACGATGCAGTTGTGGGGGGCGCTTTGGGCTTGGTTCACTGTCCTTGCATTTTTGAAAACCGTTTAGACACCAGACCTGAAGCCTCCTTATCTGACATCTCACAAAGTCTGAAGGAGCCTGCTAACCAGCTGGACGCAAGGAGCTGTAGAAACATCACTCCTTAGGCCGCGGTTTGCACGGAGTCGAGGAGATGACATCTTCCTGATGAAGAAGAGCACTTTGCCCGCGTCCCAATCTCCCTCTCTTCCTTTTTAATATGATTTGACAGCTTGAATTCAGAAGGAGGCTTTGCAATTAGGAGATCGAACCACAGCGTCTGTGCCAACAGCTCCCTTAGCTGCTCTAATTAGGGTTCCCTTCTTCCATTTCTGTTTCTCGGGAGAGGACAGGGGACTTTTTAATTGGGGCTATTAGAAGTTCTTGTTACACAATGACACCCTTTCCTAAGTGAAAGCTCCAGCAAAAAAGCCATGCCCACTCTGCAATTACTTCTTGCAATTCTGAGGAATAATGGTATCTTGTCTCATTTAAAAATAAATCTGAGGCTTCTTCCTTATTGCTTTCTCTCCTCTGCCTACTCACATGAATTTCTTCTTGCCAATTAGGCAAACTTTCCATTATTTAAGGAGCTACTTTTGATCGTAACTGTCCCCTGATAATAAGACATATTAAACTAGATTTCATTTGCCCACAGCTCCTTTCTTCCAGATACAAGGCTAATTTAAATGAGCTCAGATCATTTGATCTTGGGTCTATAGTGAAACGGTGAGGGACTGGGATTCTCAAAGCCGTGCTCTGTTGGCACGTCACAAAACTCACCTGAAATAACCTGCACGTTCAATGTTCGCAGTTTCTCGGAATCCTGTCCTCTTAAGAGGTCAGAGGTAGGATTGTATTTATGACCTAGTCCAAGAAAAGAAATTAAATATTTAAATGATAAATAAGTACATTCTTAATATATATTCCCCATGTTGATTCAAAGGATTACCAAGGAAAATGGGCCATCTACAACAGGGCCAGGAGTAACAAGACATTAAGGGCTTTCCTCTAAGTTATTTTCCATGAACAAACACAGGATCTTTCTAAAACAAGTGGTTTCTCCACTACCCTAAATGTTATCATGCCGTCTCCTCTAATGAAAAGCACCAGCTCTTATGTATAGAATATTATATTGCTTACATGAATATACATAGACATATACAGAATATTTAATGCATATTTAATATTTAATAATATTTAATGTCCTAAATGGTGTGACATGTTTCATTACTTTACACACTTGGATTTGTAAGGCAAGCCTTCAAAAGCGACTAAGCCTGTCATTTGGGTGGATGTTCATAAAATGTTCACTCTCCACTGTTGCTTTCTAGATGGTTTTTTCTAACTGGCTTCTGTCTCTCTTTCCTCATATGCAGTTATATGGAAAAGTGGATGAAGAAACTCAAAAATGTGCAATATTTGCAAATAACATTTTTATTTAAACTGATATAATTTTTAAAACTAGAAAGACCCTAGGTCTTGACTCTGACCTTTTGTTAGCTGTATAACTTTGGAAAAACCACTTAATCTCTCTACAGCTCAGGGGTTTTTTCCATCTATGAGTGAAAATAATAGTACACACCCTGTTTAAGTACTTGGAGAATCTAATTTAAAAAAAAGACCTGTGAAAATGCTCTGAACTTGGCTATTCTACAAATATATAATATTGATGATGTTATTATATATTAGCCTTATATACTAAGGTATCAATGGCAAGACTTAATATGAAACTGCTCTTAGAAATACCTGCAACAGGGGCGTTTGTGTGGCTTAGTCGGTTAAGCGTCCGACTCTTGATTTTGGCTCAGGTCATGATCTCAGGGTCATGAGATGGAGCCCCGTGTGGGGCTCCGTGTTGGGCATGGAGCCTGCTCAAGATTCTCTCTCTCCCTCGCCCTCTACCCCTCCCCCCTCAGGTTTGATATTCAGCCAGTATATGCGTGGGTTACACACCAGAAGGGTTGGTGTATGCGTGGGTACGCACTACTAGGACCATAAGTCAATGTCCATCCTGATAGGTGGACGCCTGGGTCATACTAAATATTTTTAATATCACCCCCATTGTCTGATTTCCAATTATACATTATAGCTCTGCCCTGCCAAAAATCTACTGACACCCTTACACCTATTAAAGATTGACCCCTACTCCCACTCATCACTTAGAGCCACTCTGTTCATGATCTCCCACTCTGAAATTCTGGATCACCACCCTATTCTTCTACCTCTCTTCTCCCTCCACTTGCACTAAACCTCTGCTCAACCTCCAGCCGCCTTCAGCTCCTTGCCCAGCCTCCCCTCCTACTCACTTGTCCAAGTAGACAAAAACACATGAACCTCCTTGAATGCTAACACTGTGTCTCACTTATATTTATATTCCCCAGGTTACCTAGAACTGCCACTTACACACAGTAGGGGCTCAATAAATGATAAATTGAACTTTAAAAAGAATGTACATCTATAGAGAAGATCCTAATTGGATTGTCCCAAGCAATGGATTTATTCCTCAATACTTACTCTGCCATTTCCACATTCTTCTGTGGCTTTCAAGTATTTTGTGGAGAGTGAGGGCGAGAAAAAATATAAAAATGACTAGAACTAAAACATACCAAGTGATCTTCATGGAACAAGTGAAATCTGCAAAGAAAAAAATACTATAAAAATACAATAAAATGATGCAACAGAGAGAGGCCATATGGTGATGTGGTTGTGTTCTACTACATATTTTGGCCTTAACTGAAAAGCTCCGTATATAATCATCCCTGTTTTAGGGTCGTTTGCCCTCCTGATTTCTTCCCTGATATGTTAAGTGAGTGTATTAAATGAAGAAATTTGACCAGGGAGCTTCCAGGGATCCCTTTGATCCCAAGATTCTAGGATTAATTTCACTTACAGGTCATGTAGGTGTTAGTTTCCTTGTGGTTGCTATCACTTAGCTAAGATTACAACAAGCTGAGTCCCCAAATCAGGGCCATTTGTAAATAACAACGGTGGCCCTGGGCCACACAGTCAAAAATTATGCCCTCACATGGACAAAGAGATAGTGAGTGTAAGGAAGATGGAGAGGAAAGAAAAAAGACATACAAAGAGAAAAGGTTGGACTGAGGCATATAAAAGGCCAATGCAGATGAACAATCAGAACCCCTTTCTGCACAGACTTTCACTGCAAGGATCAGATCAGGTGCACACATTAATTAAACATACAGTAACCTTAGGTAAAAACTTGTTCATTCAAATAACCGTGAGGCACATGGGAAGGATAGTCCCCATCCAGCAATAGTTTAGCACCATCTCCTTTGCTCCCATAAAGATACAGTGGCCAGTAGACCTAGGAATCAGTGACATAACGGAAGGTGACCTCATCACGTCCAAGACATAACTGTCTACTGTCTTCCCAAGCCACCTTATGTACCCTCTTCCTTGTACACAAGACATAGCACTTTCTCCAAGTTAGCAGGATATATAACTTACTTATACCCTTGGATTATTGCCCTTGTGAGGTTCATCATCTGGGTACCCCTTTCACAGGGACCCACCCCCATGTGCAGATGTACATTATATAGCCATCCAACATTTACTTAGAAAAGAGGAAGAATGCAGAAAAGGTAAAAGTTGACTGGGATGGCAGCACTCAGCCTTCCCAAAATCATCCCATGCTATTCAGCTGCAAACTTGCATTCCTCGCCTCAGCAAATTAAAAGTATGCAGTTCGTTAACTGGAATAGAAGACTTAGAGTGCCAGCAAGAGCCACAGTGGGCCCAATGACCAAGGTGTCATTGGGCACTGATGATCAAGCTATGAAAAGAGAACCAGGCACTCACCAACTTTATATAGCAACAGCAGAATGTGCACAGCTGGGGTCAGGGCAGCCAGAACACCCACCCAAGCCCCAGTGCAAATGCAGAAGAGTGTGTGTCCCCACAGCCCATGCTGCCCACCTACCCCCCATCCCGGCAGTCATCTTGGAGAGGAGCAAGGGAGAACAGACAGGGATCTGAAAAAAAAAATCTGAAGAGACAATTTAAATTACTGTTCCAGAGTAAATTTACCAGATTGGACTAAATTTACTTTCATCCCCTGGTGGATAGGGCTTTTAAGGGAGATCAAATTAGTCTCTGCCCAGCAGAGTAAAATATAAAGAAATTTTAAAACTTCTATACGTGGCAAATGGATATAATTTTTCTAGAATACAAGACTATATATTTGTGTGTCACTGTGATCTTTCTGAATTATGGGCCCAAGGAAGTTTTAACTACTATTTCACTTTGACTAGCACGTATGGATTTTTTTTCATGACACAAAAAATTCTCTGAAAATCATCATAGTTCTGGAAATGCTTCTTTTTCCTTTATGTTTTAGAAAACATAAAAAGCAATTAGATGGATGCATGGAAATAAATATGATCTTAATATTTATAATCCAACCCGCTTTATCTTCCAGACTTCATCACTGTCACATTCTCTATGCCATCCTTCCAAAGTCTACCTTCCAGCTCACTCCTGAGCCCGAGGGAATTGACCTCTCTGTTCAGATCTCCTCAGATCCTCTCCCATACCCGACACACATACACACACCTTGAAATAACCCTTAATTGCAGAGACCGTGGGGCCTTGAAGACTGACTCACAAGAGAAATTCCTTTGAAGCCTTCTATTTTACTGTAAAAATGCATACATATTATTTGGTCGTATTTGCTTGAAATTATAATATTGTTTAAATAATTACCTCTCAAAAAAGTAAAGCTTAAAAAAAAAATTCTAAGGCAACAAGAAAGGTTTCCATATGTCTGGAAGATCACAAAGCCCAGCAACTGACTCTACCCTTGCACCTGTTACACCAGATGCACATGCTCAATTGTTTTACATTCATCTATTTTGGGGTCCCTAATGCTAGCACATTGGTTGGCATACAGTAGCACGTATTAAGTGGTTATATCATAAAATACTCTTCCAAAATAGACTTTCTAGGTAAAGTGGGGCACACCGCTTAGTAGAAAGGATCAATTGTGGTAATTCCGAAGAGGGTGTCGCGGAAGCTAATAAGCTTTAGAAGTAAGATAGATGTGATTTTGATCCTTTGGATGCCTACGGTTCCCTCAGAGCTACCCTGTGACCCAAAGTGCCTCCTCTGCACCCTGCCTATCTCCATGGCTTTATATCAAAAATCCCATTGTATTCAGTCCTGGTTCTCGACTCTAGGAGAAGATATAAGTCAATTCAAAATATGATTTTAATAGCCCATCACAATGATGGATATTATATTTAAAAATAAATTTCACCCTTTAATACCCAGGTGTGGCAGCGTTGCTTCAAGCACAGCTAACAGGCATGTCCGAAGTTACTCTGAGGTCTTTCTAGTGTCCCTCAAATCACAACCCACAGATGCCTCCTCTGCTTCTGAGTCCAGCTAGGCCTCAGGAATGAACAGATAAAAGGACTAGCATTCTTTCCAGTCATATTATTGCAACAACAAAATTTTTCAAATATTTAACTTTTAATGAAGTTAATGTGTTAGCCTTTATTTAACTTTGTATCTAATTCTCTTTTTCCTCTAACTTCCTTAAATACTTACTTTTGACATCCATTTCTAGGTGCAAGGAGATATGTGTACAATTATTCAGGTATTCCATAGTCCTACAAGTATGGTTCATAGACTTTTCCTTGGGTGAATCTTCCTCCGTGATGGCTGGCCTTCTCGTGCGGGTTTTTAGATTACAAGTAATGTTATATTCTTCCAAGGGATCAGCTATAGGAGCTACAGTGAAGTTAAAATGTTGACAAGGTGAACGAAAATCATTTGCCTTCACTTCCATTGATCCTTTCATGATAAGAACTAGAAAGAGATTAAGAAAATGTTATTTGCAAAATAGTAATACATAGTAAGAAAACACACACCACTCAAAACTAAATACCATCCTTCCTCTACAAAAAAAAAGTCAAAATAAGAAGTTCACTGCACTAAAAATAATGATTAAAGTGCTTACATTTTTTTAAGATTGTGAAAACCAGATAATAGTAGGGTTGAAATAGAATCTCAAAGAAATATAGACATCTGTGCGACAGGTTATAATGCTCCAAGCCAGAAATGCCCCCATTATGCCCATTCTGAAGTCCTGGCCAACCAGAGAGGAAGAAGGAGAAGGAGGAGGAGGAAGAGGAGGAGCGGGGTGGGGGGGAAGAAAGAACACAAGGAAGGAAGAAAAAGAATAAAATGATTGCCATTGTTTTAAGCCATTGAGTTTCAAGGTAGTATGTTACACAGACATAACTTATCAAAGCACTGTCCTACATTTCCAGGAGGCAGAGAAATAGCATCTGGAGTTACCAAGCCTTAAAACACTTCCTCGGTCTCTATCACCATAAAGGTATTTCCCCAACTTGCTTTCTGGTGAATTTGACCCAGAACCCTGCAACAGCTATAGCACTACTTGAGTAAGAACCCAGAAAAAGATAGGTTTTATACTTCATCCAAAGTCAATGCCAAGAAATCTCATTCCCATTCTGAAAGAATGGGGAAAGACGCCAATATGGAGCGATACAGGAAGCAATCTCACCAAATAGGTATAAATAATAAATTTGATGCTTGGGCCTGAGGCCACCAGTATATTTTCTGACTACAAATGAGTTATTTAATTTCTCAGTCATGCAAGTTGATTTGATTTAATTAAATAATATATATTGATCTCAAAATAGATGCAGGATTCAGTTACACATTACACATAATACATAGTTATTCTTTCATTTGTTTATTCATTAAATATATATTGAGCACCTGATGTAAGGCATTATGTAAGGATCTAGAAATATGGTGAACAAAGACAAAGTCCCCAACATTGAGCAGACATTTAGACAAGTAAAAAGACAATTCAAATACAGTGGATACATGTTAGGCAGGAGAAGGTACAAATGTGTCAAAGATTTAATGATTTCTTAGAAAATCCAAGTTTGATTTTACTCTTTTAATTTTTAAAAATTCAATACCTTTGAAGAGAGCATGCTAAATACTCTTTTAACCATCAAATGTACATAAATTATGGTGGCATATGATGTATTTTAAAAGTAGGTATTTTGTTTTTGATAAAGTAAACCAAGAATAAGCAGTATCCCAAAGCCCTACAAATCACTCATCAAAAGCCACACTTGCTGAGGGTTTTGATACCATTGGATTTTAAATTGGAATATATTATTACTTTTTTAACAGACTAAGGTAATTTATTCTTGATAAACTTTATTATCACTTTACATTTACCTTTTGATGTTTGTTCCTGAGAAATAAAATCCAGACTTTTTTTGGACTCGCAAGCTAAACATGAGGAGCACATTTTCAATTCACTTGTGATGCCTTGGCAAATCCTGGTGACGTTTTGAAAGTTGGAGTGATTTAGAAAGATGCCCATAATAGTCTGAGTTTCTCTTACTGGTTTCAGAAAAGTCACAAAAGAAAAATTTAAAGAGCGGAGTGAATAGTTGAAATTAGGTTGCAAACACACTTCCAGACATGATAGCTCCAATATATTTCCTATAAAGGAAAAAAAAATTATTTACTATTATATTCTGAGGTTTTGTCATTCCAATAAATACACAATAAGCTCTCAGTTTTTCTTAGGTGGATACAGTACATTTCAGCTTGTCAGTGACAAGATTGTTTTTATATGAATTAACAACATCTACTTCATTTAAATATTTCTTTTAAAGATTTATAAACATTCCCTATTAATTTTCGGAGAAGAGAACTAAAGATGTTCTTGGAAACCCTAACATTTTAACCATTCTCTCCTGAGAAAGCTCTAGAGGCCAAAGTTCAACACTAATTTAGCTGGTCTGAAATCTAGATGTTTGCATGACCACCATCCCTTGGAAGACTCGAGAAGACTCGGTTCCTTGCCCTTCTTCCAACTTTTGCTGGCTGTTGGTATTCCTTGGCTTGTGGCCACATCACTCCAATCTCTGACTTTCTGGTTACATTGCCTTCTCCTCTGTGTCTCTGTCTTCTACTCTTCTGTCTGTGTCATCTCTCTCTGCCTCTCTCTTATAACCATCTTATATAGGACACTTGTGATTGGATTTAGGTTCCACCTGGGTAATGCAGAAGTATTTCCCCATCTCAAGATCCTGAAGTTAACCACACCTGTAGAGACCTTTTTTCCTTGTAAGGTAACATGTACAAGTTCCAGGCTTTAGCACAGGATATCTTTGGTAGCCATCATTCAATCTACCTTTCATCCAAAGATGAAATTTAACTGGATGACATCATAATTTTTACTTTTGTCTGAAGACAGACATCAGGTATAGAAATGATGATACAAAAGGAAGGACACTACATTCAAAATAAAAGATAAGAACACTACATTCAAAATAAAAGATAAGGAACTACAAAATAAAAAACTACATTCAAAATAAAAGATAAGAACACTACATTCAAAATAAAAGATAAGGACTCTAGTGCTATATCTGTCATCAGGCAAGATACTTGGACAATTTACTTTATCTCTGTAAGTCTTGTTTTCTCATCAGCAAAATAGAGATAGTAACTCTAGATCCTGCTAACCTCATACGGTTATAGTAACATCAAGTGGTATAGTACATATGAGAACACTTTTGAAATGTGTACAAATGTATATTATTTAAAATTCAAACCTGTAGGGATGCCTGGGTGGCTCAGTCAGTTAAGCGACTGACTCGTGGTTTCTGCTCAGGTGGGGGATCGAGCCCTGCGTTGGGTTCCACACTCAGTGCAGAGTCTGCTTGAAGATTCCCTCCTTCTGCCCCTCCCCCCACTCATGCTCATGCTCTCTCTCTGTCAAATAAATAAATAAATCTTTTTAAAAATATTTGAACCTACATTCCAAAGTGAAAATTAATAATTCAAATCCCATACCCTTCATTTAGGGTAGGATTATCTGTGGTTCAATTCATACAAGTAATTAAAGCTCACTCTATAAAAATCGAGAATCCCTATTTAGCAGTAATATCATTTAAGGAATAGGTAACCTTTCTCTCAGGTGTCCCTAGTCTGACAATCATTTGCTAGTATGAGAAAATAACTTACATGCTCAATTGTACCTTTATGTGGCTTTCTTTACCATTTCTTGTGTAATCATATAGGGCAAAATAAATTTTGTAATTTTTCTAAATAATGTGGAGCACAATGAAAGAATCACTTTAGTTCTTACGATTACTCTTAGTCATAGAACTTAGTTCAATCTTAAGAGAAAACCAGGCAATTGATTGATATTAAAGAATTTTTTATGTGTGGAATTTGTACTTTAATAGTAATTCCATAAGTGTCTCATTGCTGATGATTATATTTTTATTTAATAAAATTAGAGGCTTATTACCAGCCCTCTACATTTGAAGTTGTTTCTGCAATAATTCACATGTGATTTCCAGCGATAAACACATTTCATACTTGAGTTGCTATAAAGGTTTTTTTGGGGAGAAGATGGTATTTTACTCAAACCCACAATTTTATGTCTTAATATATTTATAGACGAAGTTGTGATCAAATTATAACTAATTTTTAAAACAACTGTCTTTGGTAATAAAGGCTCAGGAAGGACATAGAAATTTACCATCTGATGGAACTCTATAACCTATGGTTTTTTTATACTACCAAAACACACAAAAACATTTCTTGCCGTGTTTCCATTTTACTCACTGGCATTTTTGATCTTACAAAATTTTCCATTTCTTGAACCTGTAATCCTATGATACAACCAAGATCGGGAAATAGAGGGAAATTTTTACTGTCTATATTACAGTCCTCTTATCCAGTAAGTGACCATCTAGGCTTTCTAGAATTAATGATATATCCTTTATATTTGACTGTGAGGTCATTTTATGATGGTTTTTAAACCTTAGTTTTATTTTATTTTTTTTTTAAAGATTTTATTTATTTATTTGACAGAGAGAGACACAGCGAGAGAGGGAACACAAGCAGGGGGAGTGGGAGAGGGAGAAGCAGGCTCCCCGCAGAGCAGGGAGCCCGATGCGGGACTCGATCCCAGGACCCTGGGATCACGACCTGAGCCGAAGGCAGTCGCTTAACCAACTGAGCCACCCAGGCGCCCAACCTTAGTCTTAAATAATTCAATTGGAAAGGAAATAAATAGAAGATATATCCTTCCCTGGTATAATTTTAAGAAATAATGAATTCTATTCAATCATTTTTGTTATCAGGTGAGCTATATTCTCATCTCCATAAACAAGGATATATGAATTTAATTACTGCTATTAATATTGTTGAGAGTCAGACATCTAAATTCTTACTCCCACAGATAGAAATGCATTCCAGAATTATTCCCGTACTATAACTGCAATCTCTCAGCATAAGTATATAGAATACTAAATAGAATTAGGAAAATATATTACAGTATAGGACAAATGCTCAAGTCAATCTTTTTTTTTTTTTAAGAAAACCAGAGAGTAAGACTAAAGAAACATCAACTATCTTTATTTTCTTTTTTAACTTCTGTTATAAAACTTTATCATATATAAGCGTATGTAAAATGTTGGTGCCAGTTAAAGAATAATAAAGATAAACACCATGTATCTATTGTGCAAATTAATGATATCAATATTACCAGTATTACCAATATCTGCAAGCACCTTATCCCTTCCCATCCCTACATACCCTTTCCCAGAGGTTAACCACCATCATGAATTTTGTGTTTATCACTCCTTTGCTTTATCTTAAAGTCTTTCCAAAATGTATATATTTCTAAATAACATTGTTTCATTTAGCATATTTTAGACATGTATATATATACAGGTAATATACTTTATGTATTCATCTATGACTAGCCTTTTTTAATATGTTTTAGTCATGTTGCTGCATATAGCTATGGTTAATTTAATTGTCTGTGGTATTCTTTTGAATGAATAAACCACAATTTATTCATTCTTCTGACAGTAAACATTTGGGTTGTTTCTATTTTTGCTGTTATGAATAATGCTGCTATGAACCATAGCCCTCATACATTGCTGGTGGGAACGTAAAATAGTGCAACCACTTTGGGAAACAGGTTTATATTTCTTATGTGTTAAATATACACTTAGTATATAACCCAATAATTCTTTTTTTTTTTAAAAGATTTTATTTATTTATTTGAGATAGAGAGAATGAGAGAGACAGAGAGCACATGAGAGGGGGGAGGGTCAGAGGGAGAAGC